AAGAAGTTGTTTTGTTCTGATTTGATTTGAATTTTTCTGTTCTGGTTTGATATGATCTGATTTGGGCTAATATGCATCAAAGATGCATGTGTTCATGGTTATGTACATTCATGTCACTATAGTTTGTTCTGCCTAGCTGTATCTAATACTTTGGTTTCTAATAATACTTTCTATTGTAAAATCCACGCCATTGCTCCATCCTAATTATCTCTGTAACCAGAATCAAAATTCAGTTTATGTATTACGGAGTACATTATTTTTTACTTATTCTTCTCGTTTGAAGTCCTATATGGTAAAAATCGGACGGGAAACAACCCGAGCAAATGATTGGATATTTGATCTCATGTGATGTGCAGTTTATATTGTTGGAAAAGTGTGTTAAAATTGTATTAAATGGTCATTTTGGGGCAATTTTTTGAGTGGGGTCCACTTCCGATTTGGGTCGGGTCAAAGTGGTTTCGGATTGTCATTGCTTAGAGCTACAATTCGATATATGGTACGCTCAGAACGAATAACGGGTGAATGAGAAATCGCTTTTCGAAGTTTACCCGTTGGAATGGAGAAAACTAGGAAAAAGTGGGTTTTAGTGTGAGTTTTTCCCACACCGAAAATCATAAGGGAATTTGAACCTTTTATAAAGGGAAACCCCCCCTAAGGAGTTAAGCTTCCTAAAGGGAAAGACTCCTAATGTTGTTGGGCAGAATGCTTTGAACGGTTTGAACGATAATCACTCTGAAAGCGGAGCTCCGGTGAACAATAGTTCACAATGCGGTGCATCTGCTTTGGTTAACCAAAGGGCTATCCCTATGGTGACCGTGCCGAGCAACTCTGTGGAGAAACCCGAAAAATTTAATGGGTTAAACTTCAAGAGGTGGCAGCAAAAGATGCTCTTCTATCTCACTACTCTCGGTCTTGCATGTTTCTTGACCGAGGACGCGCCAGTTGTAACCGGGGGTGAGGTGGATGCGCAATCTTTCAACGCGGTTGAAGCATGGAAGCATTCTGACTTCCTTTGCAGAAACTACGTATTTAACGGGCTGCATGATGCTTTGTACGACGTGTATAGCAAATTAGCTACGGCCAAGGAGCTATTGAATGCTTTGGACCACAACTATTGGATGTCGGTGCAAAGAAATTTGTTGTCGGTCGATTCCTTGATTTTAAAATGGTGGATTCGAAGACGGTCTTGAGTCAAGTTGAAGAAATGCAAATGATATTCAATGAAATTCGAGATGAAAGAATGACAGTTAGTGGGTCTTTCCAAGTGGCGTCAGTTATACATTTGTTGCCGTGTGCGGGCGACCTGCACACACGAATGCCGTCCGAAAATCTATCTTCTAAAGATAACGTTAATTTTTGTTCTTCCGGTACATTCTTATTTTTTTTGCTCCATGCTGAACTGGAACGTTGCAGCATAAATGCCCAACGTCTTTGTACCTTAATGCAACGGGTTTGGACAGCTTTCTTGGAGAATCAATTCCAGCATGCTGCCATTGAAGTCCCAACGTTCATATGAACGTTTTGGGCTGTTTATTGGCTAGAATCAATGCCCAACGTTTAGGACATTGATGTCCAACTTTCACAAGCCTTAAACAACCATTAACACACCATAATCCAGCCCTATAAAAGGTTAGCAGGTGCTTTGCAAACGACACACGTTCATACACTTCGTACACATATTTTCAGAGCTAAAACCACCTCTAACATTCCATAAAAACTCTTCTGTGTTCTGAGCTTTGTTCACGTTCGTTGGAATTTTAGTTTGAGTGCTAAACTATTGATCGAAGTCATCGTATCCTGGGAGACGATCGTTGCAACGCTCCTAGCACCCCGGGAGGCAACAAATACGTTTTAAGGAAATCATACGTAGCACGAGCTTTGGCTTATTCTGCTTCATCTCATTTCTTGTTTTTCTTTAAGTCATTTTATTTAATTAATTTTCTTTGTTTTTCAACACACCCAACATATATACGGACTACTATCGTATATGCCGTTCTCGATGAATTTAACACCCACCAGTATGCATGCACACACATACTATACACATAATCTAAAACCTCAATCCATAATAATTATTAAATATAAAAAAAATCATTAAAACGTGTTAAGTTCATTCACCTAGCAGTTCAACTTCAACACTTAAAAATTTAGTTCTACACAATAGTCTATATTTCAGAAAGTAATTCTTAATTTAGAAATTAGCCTTCACTTTCAGCTCGTAGTGTTAAACATAACTAAACATAATATGATTTAATCTATTCAAATCTAATCTTTTCTAATTTGATCTGTATAATGTCTGTCATTTAGGATTTGGTTTGATCTATTATGAGACCTAAATCCATTCAAATGAAAACAATCTAATTGTAAATATCTAGACAATATAAATATTTGGGTAAATAGAATGTATATGAATGTTAATATAAATATCAGCATGCATTTGAATATTAATGTGTATGAATTTAATAACAGGATTAGGTGATTGTCTTTGGAGCATAAGTGCCTAGCACAACTCTTCTTGTTCATGCCTAAGGTTTCTTTCTCAACCGGATTCGTGCGTGGCTATGTGGGTTGTGGGAGATAGCAAGCGTTGTATTGATGATTTCTATGATTAAAGAATGTCTTGAAGTGCTGTCACAGCTCGGACCAACTATCGGGAATTTGGGAACTTCTAATCAGAAAAAACGAAGGATTGATTGTTTGTTCCCCTCGTGAACCTCCGCCAAAGATTGAGACATATATATATGCTAGAGATTGAAAGATAATGGTTCAAATATGGATTTTGGCACCTCAAGAATTTTTAATTTTCTGTGTTTAATTTTTTGTTTTGTTAGATTTCGTACGTCTTTGTTTTTGCTTCACTTTGGAGTGTTTAATAATATTTCTTGTTGGATGTTACTGGTGTTGTTAGAGTGTCTACCACTCCGGTCAAAAGTTTTGTGGCTTCAAAAGTCATATTTATCTTCAAAGCTCTTACATAATTAGCGAATTGGCATTCTCATTTGATGGTGACATATTCTCTATCTAATCATATAGCGGAGCATCTTTGAATTTTAAGTCTAGTGAGAGTTTGAGTTTTGAGTTTGAGTCTATACACTCTTGATGAAAGTTTATTTTAATATCACCGATTTGCTTTAGAAAAACTCATCTTATTGATAATCAATATTGTCGCATGTCAATTGTCAATTGTCATACTATAGTTTTTTCTATTCATGGTTCCTTCGCTATACTTTCGACATCTATGCATGGGCGGATCTACTATTGATCCAAAATGTTCACTTGAACACTCAAAACTTTTAAAAATGTAAGAATATACACCAATAAATTTAATATAATTATTTAACGTTCACTAAAATTTTAATTGTAAAAACTTTTGAACACCCAAAATGAGAATGCTAAGAGGCCGTTTGAACAACTATTTTTCGGCTTATCAGGCTTATCAGCCAACTTTTTCACCAAACACGTAACTTTTGCTTTCGCGAGCTGAATTGTGTAATAAGCACAAAAAGTAAGGTTGGAGTTACTTTTCTTATTGGCTGAAGTTACTATAGATGACCATTTTAGCTATTTTTACATATAATTTTTTCTTTATTCTATTAATAAAATATATTTTAAAAATAATTTTTTCTTAAATCAGCAGAATCAGCCAATGCAGCCAGAACTTCATAAATTTCAGCAGAAACAGCCAAATTAGCCGATTTTCGTGCTACCAAATGGGCTCTAAGTCCGCTACTGCAACTATGGTGATTTCAAACACAAAAAGTATAGTTTGAATTAACTTGAAGGGCCACATTGGAGTTAAAAGAATATTACATCAGTCTCGTTGGGTATTGACAAACTTGTGTTAGGACTAAAATAAAAAAATGTGTACTTGGGAATCACGCAAATAAGAGAGAAATTAGGAGAACCACGAATTCTTTATTTTAAAAAGAATATGAAGAAATTTGTGGGCTAGGACAAACAATCAAAAGTTGATAGAAAAGCATGGAAGCCAGAAATACGAACCAACTACGAGATATATATCTTGAACCAAAAGTAGGAAGAGCCAGACATTCCTGAAAATTGAGTTTATTGAAAAAAATAGAAGAAACGTCTGTCATTGCCATTATTAGGCATTTAGGCTGCACATGCGTACACATTCTATTTCAAGATTGATATTCTCATTTATCTCATTTGAGGTTTCACCGGCGCCCAACTCTATTAAAGTATTACTCTATCCTTATCTTTTAATAAGAATTTAATAACATCTAATTTACGTTTAGAGAAAATTATAGATTTAATCATGTAACTTATTCATTTATGGATGTGGTCGGATATTAAAATAACTGACAAGTAGTAAGGCTATCTGCATTACGGATCTTTCAACCCAAGTACACAATTAACTATTGTAGTAAGTCTATCTCCATTACGTACGTGACCTATTTTGACACATTCACAGTATATTTTCTCAAAATTTGACATCTTTTCTAAAAATGCCATGTTTTTATACGACAATGTCATGATTATTTTGTCTTTCATATCGAATGGCATTTCGTTGGAGGTTTCAAGCACTTGTCTTAGAGCAATAACTTCGTCAGAGGATGGCACGACGAACATAGTGACAAGCGGCAGGGGCTTGTTGGAGGGTGGATGAGGTCTAATGCATTCACTTCTCACACAACATCAACATCAAATCAAAAGAATTGTGCATCAACGGATCGAAGGACTTACTCAGAGTCTAGGAAAAGTTTAATTTTTCACTAAGGCTAATTTTGTCATGTTAGCACACTTTTAATCCTATATAAGATATACTAAGTAGGTACTAAATCTTATTTGTGCACTTTTATAATGCTTCAATACTTCTTCTTTCCCTCAAAATTTGACTAAATTTCATTTTTTGGTTGTCCGACTAATTTTTTCATTTTTTCTTTTACGTAAAGAATTTGTGATTTCAATTAATTCTTTTTCTTCTCTGCACAAACCGTGATGAATCATACAATTTTTAGTTTATTAATCATCGTGTCCGTCTAAGTGGTCAAGTTTTAAGGGAGGAAAAGAATATTGTTTAGGGATTTTCTCCACATTTATTCATATTATTACAACTTTTCTAGCATATTTTATTTATTCTTTGCAGAGTCAGAGACCAAGCATACAAGCAAGGTGAGAAAGTCAATAATAGCCTCCACCGGCCTGACCGGTCTTGTTAATACCGATTAGGGAGATAGAAGCCACCATATTTCCTCACAGCTTCATCACTGGTAATCACCGATCCAACACCATTGTAGTACCCCATCGCCGCCGGTGCAGCTGGCCGGAGATTCCCATATCGCCGCCTTGCTTCATTGCTGTCCATCACATTAACATAGCCTCTCTGCTGCTGTACTGGAGCGATCTGACCCCACGAATTTGTGGTGACAGAGTTATACCCAAACCCACCGTATCGCTTCGGCGACGGAGCAGGCGGCTGCCGGCTGCCGGAGTTCATGCCCCATCCGTAATTTTGCTTCCCACTGCTCCATGGTGATTTCCCGCCGCCGCCGTCAGATTTCTTCGTGAGATCTTTGTTATCCGCCGCCGCCGCCTGATAACCTCTGTTCTCCCCGGACCCGTCATCGTATTTGGTCAACGGCCTCTGGCGGTCGTTGATGGTCAACCTCTCGAGCTGTTTAAGCGGCGGCTGGCCGGAAGTATATCTCTGGTCCTTGCCTTTCTCAACATGTGCAGGAGAGTCAAAGTCAACGCCATCTTTGACTTTAGCTTCACCTTCACCCTCCTCTGTAACTGCTGATGAACCGTAGGATGAGCCGTCGCGGGTATTGGGCCTCGGCCCAGAAGCCCAATTCGGGCGGCTCGGTTCTTGGCCGCCATCACGGCGACCACCGGCGGGAGGAGGCGACTCTTCGTCGGCGGTCTTCCACGAGGACCTCCTCCCCCATGTCATCGGCTTATTGGTGGTAGTTGAGGGCGTTGAGCCACCGGAAGATGGGCCAGCCTTTACGGCAGCAATCGCCGCCGCACGATATCTGTTGAAGGTATCCTCTATATCCTCTTCGGGGGTATTACCTGTTGGAAAAATGGTTTACAAATTAATATTTCAATAGAAATTGTGCCCCGCACACGGTGAGCGTGAAATTGCACTTCACTCGCCGCCGCCGTTGGCCGGTCGGGTTGGGTAGGGTTTCGGGTACGGCCGGTGTGTACCCACGTGGGTTTAAGACTTAAACATGATTTTGGTAAAATTAATTAATTTCGGATAAGGCAACACTTAGAAGAAATGTTGTCACCTTTTTCTAAATATGTGCCTTTTGGGATTAGGGAGTGTTTGCAACTGCTTCTGTTTAAAAAAAAGCACTTTTGGAGATGTAATGAAAAAGTGATTAGTAGTAAAAGTTGATAGTGTTTGAGAAAAAAGTGATTTTGAAAAGTAAAAGTTGGTAGTGTTTGGTAAAATAAGTGCTTTTTGTGTAATAGAAAAGGGAAAAACACTTTTCACACGCAAGCCGAGAAAAAGTAAAAATTGGAAGTGTTTGGTAAATAAGTGCTTTTCTAAGCCAAAAGCTGAGAAGTGCTTTTTTTTAAGCAATTGCAAACACTCCCTAAGGGACCTGCATTTTTGGCTCCTGACCATAGTACTTATATCCCTATTGGCTCCTGCATTTTTGACGAGACAATCATAAGTCCGATAAAACACAATAAAGTCTTCTTCATCTTCCTCATCCAAAACTCCATCATTCTAGTGCATCGTTTGGTTTGCCGGTGTCCTTCGGGAACGAAAAACAGTTCTATTCAGAGAAGCGATTGCTACTTGTGTTGTGGGTAAATTCGTCTTAAGGAGACAATGATTCATAGGTCCGGTTTTATCCAAGTATTTCTAATTACTTCTTTTTTATTCAATTAATGCATGCATATTTATTTGATATTTAGATAACATTACCGTCATTTCCCACGCCTGCCGGTCGCTCGATGTTCACCGGCACACCGTCAATGAAAAATTGATGGTTGACCACGGGTCGGGCGACGGCGGTTTCGGCCTTCATGGCATAGAAACACTCCCTTAAACATGATTTTGGTAAAATTAATTAATTTCGGATAAGGCAACACTTAGAAGAAATGTTGTCACCTTTTTCTAAATATGTGCCTTTTGGGATTAGGGAGTGTTTGCAACTGCTTCTGTTTAAAAAAAAGCACTTTTGGAGATGTAATGAAAAAGTGATTAGTAGTAAAAGTTGATAGTGTTTGAGAAAAAAGTGATTTTGAAAAGTAAAAGTTGGTAGTGTTTGGTAAAATAAGTGCTTTTTGTGTAATAGAAAAGGGAAAAACACTTTTCACACGCAAGCCGAAAAAAAGTAAAAATTGGAAGTGTTTGGTAAATAAGTGCTTTTCTAAGCCAAAAGCTGAGAAGTGCTTTTTTTTAAGCAATTGCAAACACTCCCTAAGGGACCTGCATTTTTGGCTCCTGACCATAGTACTTATATCCCTATTGGCTCCTGCATTTTTGACGAGACAATCATAAGTCCGATAAAACACAATAAAGTCTTCTTCATCTTCCTCATCCAAAACTCCATCATTCTAGTGCATCGTTTGGTTTGCCGGTGTCCTTCGGGAACGAAAAACAGTTCTATTCAGAGAAGCGATTGCTACTTGTGTTGTGGGTAAATTCGTCTTAAGGAGACAATGATTCATAGGTCCGGTTTTATCCAAGTATTTCTAATTACTTCTTTTTTATTCAATTAATGCATGCATATTTATTTGATATTTAGATAACATTACCGTCATTTCCCACGCCTGCCGGTCGCTCGATGTTCACCGGCACACCGTCAATGAAAAATTGATGGTTGACCACGGGTCGGGCGACGGCGGTTTCGGCCTTCATGGCATAGTAGTTGTTTGAGCCATCACCGGCGGAGTAATTATCAGGGGAGTAGTAGTTCCTTGTGAAGGTTGAACGTTGACCGCCGGCGGCGGCCATGAATGGTGGCGGTTGGCTTCGCTGGTTAAGATATTCGTCATCTCCGGCCGCCTGCCACCGCCCTGCTGGATTGCCGTGAGAATCATCACTATACCCGTACCCTATCACCATTGATCACCTTAATGTGTTGGGGGCAGAAGGCGAAGTACAAGTTCTTTTTATTTATTTATAACTTCTACGAGCTAAGGTTTTTCTTCTTTTTCTTGTGATTGGATGATGATGAAACTATTATGTATGAAGCCACTCTATTTAAAGAGCGAGTGTGTATGTTGTAATGTTGAAGCGAAGCATATCTGATATCCCCATATGCTCTACTATTCAAGCTTTTCTCTCTTTAATCACAAGAGATTGAGAGATGCATCTATAAAAAAAAGGATAATTGATCGGATGAATTGAATTTAAACGTCAGTGATGCCGTCTCCTGGCTGTATATTCGTTGAGCTCCGTGGACGTTAGTCTGTCTTTAATAGAAGGTCAAGCAACAACATTTTTTGAAGATGTTTTCAGTCACTAAAAGTTAGTCTGTCTTTAATAGAAGGCCAAACATACCCATAATACCCATAATAGTTGCACCTTTCATCTATTGTTTCGTAATAAAACATATACTGGTAACACTTTTGCCATTATTAATTATTATTACTTCGTACGGAGTATAAAAAATTGAAAATGTGACGGTGCCAATTCAATGTTTATCATTAAGGTTGTCAATAAATAAAAACAGTAAATTTTCTCCCCTTGAAATCTAATTAACCTGGAAGGTGCTACTGCCAGTATGACTGCTCTTTTATTCTTGTCACACATTTAGAATTGTCTTTTCTTTATACAAAATGGTTATGGTCATAAGTTTTCTCTCCAAATCTTATTCTTCCAACTAGCTAGATCATTTAATTAGCAAATTAAAATTGAAACGTTGGTAGTATTATCTCCCTTTGTCTCATAAAATTTTTCCCACTTTGACTTGGCACAAAGATTAAGAAAGTGGAATAAAGTGGAAATGCATAGTTGTGGTTGTGTAAGAAAAATGTGAAATGAATGTGAACCACACAAATTGTCCAAAAATGGTAAGTGAGAAGAGTTTTTTGGGACGGTCGAAAAAGGAAACTGGAAAGAATTTTATGGGACGGAGTCACGGAGGGAGTATTAGACTATTAGTTACATGCGTACGTATATATATATAGCTTGCATATTTAATTTGTTACTTCTTTTGTAACATTCATATCTTCCCACTTTCCTTTTTTGGACGTAACATTTATATCTTCTCATCATACCTTTAATAATTTAAAAAATAATACACTACCACACCTACTTTTTTAGATTTATCCTTCATTCCATCACATTATTTCACCATCTTTCCATTATATCCTCAATAATTCATACCCCATTTCACTATTTTTAATCTCACCCACTTTGGAAGTGGGAAGATATATGTGATAGGGAGAGAGTATTCTTTGTATTTATCATTTGTAATGGAGCAGTTATTGCTCTTGCTTACGTATAGGAGTAGTCTTCTATTGATTGTAACAAAACGTAGGTCGTAGCCCCCAGAGTAAATGTGTATATATTATTGGATCGTTGTACACATGAGAGGACACGAAATAAAAGACTGGTTTTTCAGCCACCGATTTCTTGTTTAATTAACTTTATACTAGTCGAATCAATACACATAATTATACGTAGAAAAAGAATAAGCACCACCGCCTCCATCTTTTTATATTACGTACAAAAAAGAGTTCTTTCCACACGCGCGCGCACGCACTTAGTGTTAATATAGATTATACGTAGTACGAAGTATATAGTTATATATGTGGATATATTTTGAATTCATATATCCAACTTAACGGTGATGATAAAAAAAAAAAAATCCAACTTAACGGTGGTAATTAAATGACTAAACGACAATTCCTTTATATGAAAAAAGAACCACCGCTAGAGATAATGTGCATTTCTTATCTTAAAAGCTTATAATCCTCAATGAGGGTTAGGACATTTTAGGGTTGAAAAAAATGTTGGTGTAATCATCTAGCTTAATAGGGCTGTACAATGTGTTTTAACATCTGTACCATGTAGCTTATTTCCGTCTCTAAGTGCTCCCATCCGTTACATCTCCGTCTCTCAACCATCTAGCTTACATACACCGTCCGTTTTCTTCTTCTCTCCTCACCCAGTCCTAGCTATCGCCCAGCTGCTCGCGCCCTAACCTCACCAGCGACCATTTCCGTATGGTGGCGCTAAACATCCCCAGCTTTGTTGTCATTCCGTCTGGAGGCTAACAAAGACAGAAGTGTTTGATGACCGGTTAATGCTAAACGGTATGTGCCTTTTCATCTTCTCTGCTCTTCTCTTAGAAACATACGATGTAGTCATGTAGATTGATTTGAGTGTATTTGTTCTTGCATTTGTCAAATTATATATGTCTACTCTTGAATTTTGCAGGTTTATCAATGTCTTTGATTTTGTAGAATTCCATGTTTAGGCTTTTGGTTCAAAGTTGTTGATTGCTAGAGGTAAAGAAAGGGCATTAGGTGTTTGTTAAATTGTCTAATGAGATTCATCACACCAATTTTTGGATGCTTTGGTCATTGTCTATGCCACATATAGATAATGTTAGTTTTTTATTATAAAAAATGTTAGTTCTTGTTTGTCAATTTGTAGAATTCTATGTTTAGGCTTTTAACTCTTGGAGTTGTTCATTGCTAGAGGTAAAGAAAGGGCATTAAGTGTTTGTTAAATTGTCTAAACGAGATTCATCACACCAATTTATGGTTGCTTTCATCATTTCCTATGCCACATATTCTCCGTCTAGCCTAGCCCGAAAGTATGGTAAAAAATAATTTCTGGCGCACTCGGAATTAAAATTTAAAAACTCTTAAAGTTTGCACATTGGCGCATTTTAGGTGTGAGTAAGAAATAGTTATTGAGGATGAAGGGGTTACTTATGTTTATCTCATACGGAGTATATTAGTTCCTTACGAATTCATAAAGGTATACAACTTACAAGTGCATGTAAGAGAATGGTTATATTTGTTGTTTATAAACTTAGCACTTAGCCTACATTTTATTCGTGTTCTGTACAATGTGTGTGGGGATGAGGGAATCAAGGTTTTAAGGTACTCAAGAAAATCAACTTCTGTTGATTAATTTTGTTCACATGGGATAATTTATTTGTCCATTATTGGGATAATTTAGTATTCTACTATTATGTCGCATGGGATAATTTATTTGTTCACTATTGGGATAATTTAGTATTCTACTATTATTTCCACATGGGATAACTTATTTGTTTACACTTTACGGTTGTTAATTTTCAATGTTTTCCAATTCGAATAGATATAATATCCAATTGAGAAACATCTCATTCTAGACTTTTGTAGGCTATTGTTAAGTGGATGTTGAGCATGCCCTAGGTCCTACATTGGCTGAGGCTATTGAGGTAAACACCGGGAATTTGCTTCTTTGCCAGCCAGACTATGGTGAACATGCACTTAGCCTTGTGGATACTCTAGCCAGGAGTGGCTCAGTTGGTGATGTTGTTGTTGTAGAACATGTTCTGAGCTCATGATACTCTTGAGCTCATGGCAATGCAGGCAAGGCTAATGAGTCAAGTATTACACAAAATAAGCCATTCATTATCTTTTATCTTTATCAATCAGGTAATCTTTCTACTCTTATATTTTAAACGTTTTTAGGTATACTGGGTTACTCCGTATTGACTTTATCCAAGTTTTCCGTTACAGATCACGTTAGAGTAAAATGCATATGCTTTTTGTGCGTCTAAATAAATATCAGGAGAGTTGAATTGGGAGTAGTGTTAAAGGGCGGAGAGGTATACATTCTAATTAAATGAAAAAGTGGGTACGACTATGATAGAGTATGTAACCGGTAACATTTCAAACTTTTTTTAGTATTGATGCTTTTTGTTGTGATTAGAAGGTGTTTTGAAGATTCACTTAAAGCTGTGAAAGCTGATATTCGACACGCGTATACTCTGTATGCAACTTATCTTCTTCTCGATTTATTTTTCTCTTCTATTTTTGTGGGGCAGCCCAATGGCTCTTGGCCTATTTTTATTTATTTATGGATTTATTAGAAAGTCTTCAAAGATGAACTTAAAAACAGAAACTAAGGAGGGAATTCGGGGGTTCAACCGCACAGACAAAACGGAAAAGATCAAGACCTTTGAAGTGCAATTTTCTGGACGCTCTTCTTCTGTGCAGTTTTCATGAAGTTATCAGATCGAAGTCTGAACATGCTCCGATTTAGCTGATATTTGGTCAATACCTTCAGGGCATCTGGTTCTTCAATTCCAACGGTTGGATTGTCAATTTCTGCTATGGTTTATGAGATACAGTCACTACACTGAGTCATTGTTTTCTGGTGACGAAATTCATCATATCTCTTGGTTTGATTGTATTGTTGGTTGATTGTATATTGTTGGGTTGTGTACCTTTTGGTGCTCATTGTAAGAAGGATTTTGTATTCAATCTTGACTGTAAGAAAATTAGATTGTGTACCCCAAACAAGTAACAGGATGCTCTCGAGAAGAAAATTAGATTGTTTCTTCTTCAATAGCAGCAACTTGTTCATTTATGTTAAAAGCCTGATCATTTGGGTAGTTATACATATCAATAATCTCCATAATCCTCACAGTTGTTTTCTGGATAATATTATTTTTATATAAAATTTTCATTACGAGAACTAAAATATGATATGATGATCCTTCCTCCACATAGTCAGGGATCAAAACCACAATTTTGCATTCTGTTTTGTTGTTGTTGTAATTCTCGGTGGCAGATGTACTCTTCTAGGAGAAAGTCAATAATAATCTTATTTATTGTATGCCAACAACTTTGATATGATAAAATGATGCTCCTAAACCATCTGTTCCAACACTAGATTCAACTTGAAAACAAAATCTCAATTTCTTGTTAAGTGATGATATGGAAGGGAGTTAATACAATATGTGTAGGTTCATTTGAGCATGATCTTTATTATATTGAAAGGGGAGGTTCTGATAATAATTAAAAAAAATAGAATTGTTAATGAATCTTACTATGAAGACTCGAGTGAGTCATTCAGTTATAGTAATCATTTTTTCTTGTTCTTCTAAGGTCATTTTATTAGGATAGCTAATTTAATTGCACATTTTATTGGCGGTATTGCCTAAACTAGAAGTTATATTAGGATATACTCCGTATCAAGTATTATTTAAAAT